ATCACCTGACCAACGCCCAACTCTCATTTTTTCAGCGAAAAATTTACCTGCCGCCAGCTTATTTCGAATTTGAACGCTCTGAGTGTTAGGAAACAGGATTTGTGAGTTTCTAGAGAACACACATGCACATACCCACATCGACAAATTAGCAAACACATTTAGAAGATTATATACAATAGGTTGTATTTGAAGGCACAGTTCTCGGTGATTTTGGGGTGTCCAGATCGATCATTGGAAGCGATGCTCGGGAATAGTGCGATGGCGGAAAAGGAAAACTTGAGAATTGGCATCGCTAGTGAAGTGCTAGAGAAGGCATCAGAAAAGTAGACAAAATCGTGTTTGGATAAAAGTCAAACGAAAAAATGGCGCGGAAGAGGTGATTGGCCGAGTTCTCCAATGCGTGTCACTGCATACAACTGACTACAGTATAAGAAATCGGGAGATTGTATGTAACATGAAAGACCTAGTGCGAATAGTGCCACCTCTATGGCCTCGACAACTCGACTGAGAGCTAGTCCGTTTTTGCATGAAGACGTCGGATGAGCCTGCTTTGAGGCCCTTATCAACCTATGCAGTCTAAGTCCCAAGTCCTTTACGCTAGCCATGGGGGCCACAGGCTAACCTCAAGGGAGAATCTCAGAATCTCTCGTACCGTTAACTGCGCCTTTAAGGATAACGATGAGTGATGAAGTATCCGGCGTCAACCAATTCCGTTCCTGGTATGATGCCGCCCTCCCCCTTCCCTTCGACTCTGTTGGAGCGTATACTGAGCAAAAGAATGCTTTTTCTTACTGCAGAAAGTTTATATAGAGGTCACTATCACCGGCTTAATACTTATGGTCACTGTCTCGACACGTATAGGTGGTTTTCTTGACACGTATCGGTGGCTCACTTTTCAAGTTGAAACATTTCCTCTTCGTCCTATACCAGCCTGTCTACCCGTTTCCACACTTCATCAGACAGTAACTCTTCACTACTGAAATGGACAACTCATGAATCTGAATAAACATTAAAGAACAGAAGCACTAAACAGAGTGAGTAAAGTAATGCTTTCTATTCATCATGTTTTCTCTTTTCTCATTACCTATGGTCATGACTGCAACACTTCCCCTGACCTAGGTACTGGCGTATGGGACGCGCGGTCCTTGTCGGGGGCGGGGNNATTCCTTGAAATTCTCCAGTTTTCGTGCGAATTCTTCAACTTCTTTAAGCATTCTGGATTCCTTCCGGCGATGTACAGAGTGCTTTGTTATTCTTCTCCGACCCGCAATACATGTCTCGTCTTATTTTATTTCGTCAATGTTCTGTGTTGTGTCGACTATTCAAATATAGTTTGCAAAATCAGGTATCGATTATCCTCGTTTATCTTCTGCTCTGGTTCATTTCGGATGTTTTTCAAGTAGATTGTTCAGCTTTTGACAAGGTACACATTAGCGTATACACCTTTTTACTTGTTCTCAAAGTCTCAGTATCCAGTACTGGTGTCGTACTTCTACCATGATGTGCGCGGTACTATTATTACTTTCCGTGCGCTTTCAGCACAATGAGGCGAGCCAACTTTGTAATTTGTTGCATCCATGCTAGCTAAATCCAACTGATTGAGACGACCGTATGCTCTCTGCAAATGGTCTTGGTCTTCTTTCATATTGAGAGTCATGAGTAGTTCCCTGCTATAGCTCGAATGTAAGTATACTGCTTGATGGTTTCTCATCAGCGCGACATGGCCATTTTTAATGTTTGATGTCTGAAGATTTCAAGCACCGTTTTCCTGTGGGCTCATTACTGCCAGGTAGTACACGGTGTACTTTGTTCCAAACTGGTTCTCGTATTCGAGAAATGATACCCTTAAAAAACCGAAGAACGTAGGCTAGGATCCGCAGACATTTTTATTCACTGTTGTATCTGAATAATTCAAGAATATTGCCACTTGGACCTCAATTATTTTCGTTGCGTTTATTTGCACAAAAGCTGTGAAGCCTTCATATTCTTCTTTTTCTTGTTCTGAATCGTTTGGGAGATAGAGTAAGTTGGATGTGAACCTTTCTTTAAGGTGCCTCGGGATGCCGCTCCACCAACTATGTATGTGATGGGAACTCCTGAGTAGACGTTCCTCGCGATCCAATATCCGCTGGATTTTGTGTCAATGTAGCCGAACTTCAGTTTAATTCCCCCTCCAGAAAGAGACCGTGCGATCCGACGTGTTCCCTTGTCAAAATTTCGACGTACGGTCCTGTTTTCTCTCGGGTCGGGTTGCCCCGGGGCCATTTCAACGCTATCTCCGAAACCGTTAAGAACACAACCTTTGGAATGTTCAGTAAGGATTTGTTGCTCGGGCGTGCGTTGATTGCTATGACGTTTAACTCTATTTTTGGGATTTTAGGGTGCAGTTCATGTTTGACTCCTTTGATTTTGCCATAAGCAAGCAAGAATTTTTCTCCGTAGTTAGATAGATGCATTCTATCATGGCAAACGGGCTGGCATCAGGATATATGACCAGTGTATACGATCTTATGCCATCCTGTGTAAGCCTCCTTGGCAACTCTTCACAGAACTCGGATATGTCTTGCACAATGCAATTCCACTGTTGTTCATGCTCTTCGCTTAGTGGTTGATCTCAGTCATAGTGATGTTTCCACAGAAATTCATTAAAATGCTTTGCTTTGAGCGAAAGAGTGATAAACCATCCTTACGGATCTTGAACGGACGCAATTTGTTTTGCAACAATTTCAATCCGCAATCAATCTGGGCAATCGTGCGTTTGCTAACGACTTCTTCCCGTCGTACATTCACGGGTAACGGAAATTTATCTGTGGTTGAGTTCCACGGTATCCAAAGTATCTCAAGTGCGATGTTTAAAGATCGATCAGGCCTCATTTCGTAAATCGACTTCAAACATCTGTATTCCTGCATGTCTTCCGTTGCTATATATGCACCAATGATTAGATTATCCACATAGAGCTTAAATGCGATTTCTGCTGCAAGATCTTTGTCCTCCACGCAGTTGTTCAAGAAGAAATGGATCGTTGCACTTGGGAAAAATGGCGAAGCATTAAAATGAGAGGTCACCCTCCTGAATTATAGACGACCGAATGGTCTTCCGTTAATGGCTTCATTACGTTCTTCATCGATAAGCATATAGCGAAGTCTCTGTCTTCTCATGGAGATAAACTTGAAGGAAGGCTGTTTCAACTTCTGATAATAGAACGAATTTTCCTATTCGAAAGCGTAGAAGCCTACCATATAGTTAAGGGAGTACGCTAGGCCTCGAGTGATACACAACGTCGTTGAATGACGGACAGTCCTTGTAGTGCGCCGACGCCGACGCATTAAAAACAACTCTAAATTTGGTAGTATCTTTCTTTGGGGTGATAACGGGCTGATGAAGAAGACAGCGTTTCGGTTTTCCGAGGGTATCCTCCGTTTCATCTACTTCCTCCAAGATTCCTTTTGCTCAGTGGATCTAGAAATACTTCGTGGTCCTGTTCGAGAATGTTTGGCTCTTCTTTGCATTTACGCGACGACGCAATATCAGAGCTCTGTTATCTGGTATATGGTCATGCGGGTCTGTAAATGGAAGCCGAACAACACGGCCTCTAGGCTTATCACGTTTTTCGATAGTGCTCTTGAATTTTTCCAGTATTCGCTCATTGATGCAAGCTCTTTCTTCTTTTTCTGGGCCACTGCACTCCTGCTCTATTGTTTGAGTCTGCACATTCAAGTGAGTTTCTCAAAGGTCGCCGTCATTCTCTAATTCTTTTGTATGCGCAGTTGGCATTTTGCTTCCCTGCCCCTTGTTTTGGCAGCTATATATTCCCAAACTTTTTGGCATCTGCCTTGCAATCTCCTCCTCCTGTTTTATGACTCCATCTAGAGTGGTCATGAGTTTGCTCAGTGTCCAACTCTCTTTTAAAACTAGTGAAACCTTTTTTGAGAGATTCCTCCAAATGGTCTCTGCAAATTTTGTAAGAATTTTAGATAAAGGCCACGGACTATCGGAAGATTCACCTTTGCTCACAAGCTGAGCTGCGATGGCAGACAGTTGGTCGTGAAGTTTGCGCTGACCTTTCAATCGTGTGCTCTTGGGGCTCCATTATTCTAATTGACGATTTAAGCTCGTAATTGATCGTGCTCATATCTTTCTTCTAGATGGGTTACTTTATGTACCCTAAGACAGTCAAGTACATGGATTGTTCAAATGTCCCCATTGGGAAGAAATCCAAATTTCCGTCATCACCCCACGAAGCGTAAAAAGAAGGTCTGTATAACTGAGACCAACAATCCCTCAGAATGTTGGGGAAATGAGGATCACATTTACATCGATCTCAACATCGCCACATCCAGTATTGTCAGCTACATTCGTTTCGAATGAAGAAAAGATAGCAATCTGGATTAGAGACGTGAAACCCAATTTACTATGTGGATCCCTGAGAGCAGCTAGAGAATTTCACCGCACAATCAACGACAACTGCTTTCGCCAACCTGCCGAGAACAAAGTCAGTTGTGTTCTTCTGTACTGTCGATGGAAGCAGCTAGAGATGAAGCCTTTACTGAGGCATGCAAAGGTAGTATTGTAACATCAAACTGGGACCTTATATACGCTGAATTCAGATTCTCTCTTATTCGAGTTATATTCCTTAGAAATTGAAAGAATATGGAGTATGTTTGGGTGGGTGAATGATCCTTTTATTTGAATGATTCATGAATGATTTTCATTCATTTATTTGAATAATAGCTAGAGAGCTAAATCATGATTCTGGTACAGAAACTCCCGCGAGCAGAAGATTAGCGGATCTTTCTTGGCATAGGCTTAGTAGGAAACATAGCATGTTAAGGACGTGAAATAAGTGTTAGAAGGAACAATACAATGGCCAACGAAAGACACATCTTAAATCAGATATCTGAAGAAAAAAGGATTGCACAGAATAAGCGAGGCTTTGAACAACTTTCATCCTGGGTCAAGAAGGTAGGTCCGTTCTACCAATGAGCCAAATTTCGTAGTTCTAAGACAGATGTGCTCCGACAGCCGATTTCTGCTGGGTTCTCGCTGTTGGAACGTAACGGATAGTGACGTCGGTCGTGAGTTCACGGATTTTACGAACACGGTTGCGAACGCATACTGGGAGGGTTTTTTTAGACATAGTCCATGCTATTGAAACGGCACTGTCCGACCGAAGGTATTTCCGACGAAGCTGGATATCGAGTTGTTCTGTAAGGAGCGAAAGTAGGTTGGCACCAGCGGCGATGACTGACAACTCCAGACGTTGAATAGTGACTGATCGACGAGGTGGAGCTAGTCTCGATTTTACCATCAGAAACGAAATTTTGTGCGGAGAGTCAGTGCGATGGTGGACAAGATAAGTTGCAGCGAATTATGCATATCCAGATGTGTCTGTGAAGACATGGAGGTCGAATTGGTCGGAGTTGGGAAGTGTTTCTGTATCGTCAATGACACGATCGGTGTCGAACGAAGAGCTCGTCCATTGGTCGACGATTTCCTGCCATCTTTTCTAGTGTTCTTTGGATAACGTGTTGTCCCATCCGATGTCACTTTTCCGTAGTAATTGTAGAAACAGTTTTCCCATAAGAGTGAGTGGAGTTAGAAATCTTAACAAATCATATATATTGGCTACTCTTTTTAAAACTTTTATTCTCGTCCACATAACTTTCGATGGTTTCTGAGGCAGAGTTAGTGAGAGCTTGCCTTCGGAAGTGTTCCACTGGATGCCAAGTAATTTTTGCATCTCTGGAACCTTCTCGCCTTCTTCCATTTCGATGAATTTGTTCAGTTCTGAAGAATCACTGGCGAATTTCCATTTTCCGAAACTTGCTTACGAGTTGATATAATTCGTCGTGATGGACTGGATTGGTAATGTCATCACTTGCAAGCAGCGAAGAATATGTTGCAGAATGTTTCAAGTGGAGGCCTTTACCGACAAAGATGTAACCAAGGTTGGTATGAAGGAGATCCATCCATTTGGAAGCGTTTTGTGGCAAAACTTTTCTGACAGCACCATATCCCAGAAGTAATCGTTTCCTATGAGAATCGATGGTCTTCATGGAGATACAGTTGCGTCATGGATTTCTGCATCATCGTCGTAGCGAATATGCTTCAAACGGCCTGTGAGGATTGGTACCGACTTCACCTCAAAATATTATACTTTTCTCCGTTTTCCACAAGGATGCCAATAACATTGTCACCTGAGGTAAGTTGAAGAGGAGTGGTGGTCCCAAGGGTTGACATGGATATGTCTTGAGTTGATAAGATAGAAAGCAGGAGAAATTCGGCCAAATCTTTTGTAATATATGATTGGCTGGAACCGGAGTCAGTACTGTCATTGCAGTTTTTAGAGAAGGACGAGAAGGATTAAAAAGGAGTACCGGAGTGCACCTGAGTGTGGTCTGTGGGGAACGTTCATGTTTTGATTTCGGTGGAACGGCAAATGAGCACGCGGCAGTAGCAGTCTCAGGACTTTTGTGATTGAGATCCCTTGTTCCATTTGGAGACGTCTCGACAACCTGGACACTTTGTTAAAGATATTATCTACGTTTTGAGTAGGAGTTTTGTTTTGAGTAGTGAGTCGTTCCGCGTGGAGAAATTTTTTGGCGTGGAGGTAGTCCTTGAGAAAAGCACAACGACGAATGCTGGCGCTTGTTACAGAATTTACAGGTACGTTTGGATCGGCAATCCCTCGTAAGATATTGATTGGATGAGCAATTGAAGCAAAGATGTAGTTCTTTCACTCGTAGGCTTCATTGATGAGGAGTTCAAACGGAATTGCAAGAAATGGGTGGATGATAGCGATTATTGCAGTACGGGCACGGCATAAGTCTCGGTCTGGAACGTGGTGCTATGGGTTGACGTTGATTTTCCGGCTTCATGGCCATATGGAAACTTTCATACTGGTTCTGTTGTGGTTGATGTGGCCTGATAATTCATTTTGGATAGAATTTTGAATCCTTACATACAATTTCAGTGAGCAGCCGCAACAGTTCACGTGGCGAGGGGTTATGAGAGTTTGCCGTCATGTCATATACTCTGCTCTTCACTCTTGCAGGTAGTTTGTTAAGTAAGATTGCTCCCAGAGCCGTTTCGTTGGAGTCATCCTTGCTGTCAGAAAGTTGTCGAATGAGAGCAAACATGGCATTGTTCAGTGTTTGAAGTTGACGTCCTTCAGAGTCGCAGTCGGGAAGCTGTGCCAGTTTGGTGTAAAAGATGTGCTTCATCGTAACTTTGTCATCGTAGTGCGTTCGTAGTATATCCATCGCGATTGCGTAGTTTTCTGGCGTCATCGACAGTCCTTGAACTGATTGCAGTGCACGGCCTCGTAAGCATGACTTGAGCAGAGAGAGTTTAGTTGTGTTGTCCAACTGAGTTTTGTTGCCGACCAGTGTGGCGAACCGTGATGCAAACTCAGAATATTCGAGGAGGCTGCCGTCGAATGTAGGGAGTTTCATTTTGATTAATGTGGAGGCGTCGACGAAGTTGAGCAAGGAAGAGTCTGTCGAAAATTGTGGAACTGGGGTACGAGGTGACCGCTGCGATTGACTACCATGATGTAGGGTGGGTCCTTTTGTTGATGCTGATTTGTTACCATATTCATCCAGTGAGGTAGCCTTTGAGATATCGGAAGATACATTCAAGTTCCGTTTGAAGTATTCTTGATCGATTGCATTCAGCAAAGAGTCGAGGCTTTCCAGGCGATTTACCGAACTAGTGATTGATTCACGATAGTCACCATATATGGGTATGTAGTCATTGGAAACTGTTTGTTCACCTTCTTTGTAGCCTCGATGCGTGACCCATTCATCATGTAGTTTCGTTATTTTCTGAAAAGCTTTCAGAAGGCTTCTTCTTAGCGGGACGATATCGTTGCAGAACGACTCGAGTACATCGTTCCAGATGGCGGAAGTCGTGCTGTTCGATTTTTACGCGATACTTCTTAAATGTGGTTGTGCCGTACTTCTGTAACAGCTTCTGGAACAATCCTCTTTGGCGAAGTATTTGCAAGCTGTCGTTAGGTGTCATCGTCGTCCGTGTTGTTTTGCTTGAGGTAAAGTTGATCGTTGAGCGTACACTGCTTCGTTTCCTTGACTCGATAGACAGATACGTGTGGACCTTGGCGATGAGCGATCGTTGCTGACAATGAGTTGCTGGCGTTGATAGCAGTTGTTTGCGGTACGAAGTCGTTGGCGTGTCGAACGATCGTCGGTGTGATGAGATGAGTGGTGACGATGTGAAGATGCTGCGTTTATTGAGCCGTTGTCGACGATGTGGAATTGGTCGAGATATCGTGGTCGTCACTTTCTGTACTGTGTGTATTTCTTAGAAATTGAGAGAATATGAAGTGTGTTCGGGCGGGTGAATGATCCTTTCGTTCGAATGATTCACGGCGAAATTAGCCAGAGGGCTCAATCATTATTCTGGTACAGAGGGTGCTTGCTACGACCCTGATATCGTAAGATCTTCACTGAAGAAGTTGAAAACCGTCTGCCTATAGTGCACCCCTGGATCACATTGAAGGAAGTCGATTCGAACGCCTCTTCTGTTCTCGCTGTCATACCAACATTCGTCACTGCAGAGGTGATAGTTCAACTTGACGACCAAATAGACGAATTGAAACAGTAGTTTCGAATGCCGACTGCATAATACAAAACACCATCGCCACAGGGTGTTATAACTGCCTTGGTGGGGCATTAGCAAAAGTCGGTGGTATCACAACAAAAAAAAGCGACAATGGCCACTGTGGAATGCGACAAAGATTTCTTCACAACTCCGTGTCACAAAGGCGGAATTGAGTCCACACTCAAATTTTATCATACAGAAGCCAAGATCAAAAAAGTATGCTAAGTGTCATGCGTTACCTTGAAGAGTACCTTCGAAATAACAGGGGTACTACAGTGGAAGCGAACTATCCTTGATTCAGCGAGAAAAATCCTCAAAGAAGAAAGCAGCGAACTGTGTACAATAAACCCACCTTTTGAACTTCAAACACATCTTTGAAGTTCTCAGTCATTGGTGCAAGGAAGTCGCATCGCTGCAGCCGCTTTAACAGTGCATTAATAGCAGGATATTTATTCGCTTGGTCCTACGGGTTACGAATTCTTTGCATCACAATCCGCCTTCTTTGGCTTCCTATACTCTTAATTACAATATGTTTGCGAACAGCTTTCTATTCGACTTACCGCTGCTGCGTTCGCAAGAAAGAATCCATCGAAAAACCTGTAGCTCTCTCGAAACGTCATTTTACTACACGCCTCCGCTTCATTTCTGCACGCTTTTTCTTCGTCTACTTCTGTTTAACCACTACTCTTTCTCTTCAGCACGTATACAAAGGAAGATGGAGTCAATCAGAAAAGTACAATCTACAGTCGTCAAAAAAGCTATATCGAGCTCCCCATCAAAGCGTCATTCTGCCATCGTCAGTGAACCTCTATCACTGAAAAGGTAACGCTTGAAGGCGAGTCCGCTGAGAATCTTTCTCTTACAAGTAAGCAAACTTCTCAAGGAAACCGCAGATGCTCTTAAACAGTCTTATACAACGGCGCAAATCACCAACACTCTCAAAACAATAGAGAATGAATGCTGCGCTCAGTCTCCAAGAACACGATGCCCACGATCGCCAAGGTAGAAAATCTCGACAGACGCAATATGAGATTAGAAGACGCAGTGAAAGATACCGCCAAAGTGTAAAATATAACTGAAACAAATGTTGCGCCAAGTGTGACGACCTCAAATAGATTTTTCGCAATACATGAATAAGCTACAAGGAAAAGTTGATTCAATGGCAAGTCAAATGAAGAAAATATTCCATTCAGTGGAGCCTCCAATCCCAGAAGACAGAAGACGAGAAGCCAACACGATGACAGTTGAACAAAGCGCTCGACGCAGTGAATCATCGCCAGGCGACAGATAGCACGACAAAATCCAACGTAGTGAGTCAACACGACGAGAACACGAAAACTCCATCGTATCCGACGCACAGACTCAGCGCATGAAGAAGATGATTGAAAACTCCTAGTTGCGTGGGGAGTATAGCAGATAGTACTGCTACGGAATTTGCTTTTGTATTATCTCGTAGAAGAGAAAATGCTTCGACGGTTCCACTGCTTCACGCAGTTTATCACACATTATTTTGTCTGATGCTTCGAATATGTCGTACTACATCCGTATATAAATCCCTGTAGATGATGCTATATGTCTTTGTTTACATACTTTATGTTTATATTGTATATATGTTGCAAAAATGGTTATTAAAGTTTAATTACCCAAGTTTGAGGTACCGTGAAACACACGATCGCATAACTAAAT